ATGTACCTGTCGAGGAGAGGGTACCAAGTCTGCACTGTCACCATCACAAAACCAGCCCTCTTCGAATTGCAAGTAGAGGGTTTTCTACCAACCACACAAAACCACAATGACTGCACTCATTGGAGGCATGGAAACCCCCAAAAGGAGAAAACGACCAGTCCTTTTCTTCCTTTCTAGAAAACTCTCTAAATATCAATGAGAATTCTGCAAAACCCTAGAGAGGAATGCGCAGAACAGAGAAAAAAGGAGACAACTTATCTGAACTGATTATTGTGGCTCTGATACCATGATAAAACTCAGATTAGATGTTCGTATATGTTCAGATCAGAAGAAAGAAAAGGAAAAGAGAGAGAGAAGGAGAAGGAGAAATAGAAGGAGAAAGTCAGCCGAACTAGAGAGAAAAATCTCAAAACCTCTAGTTGGCCCTTCTTTTATTTATACTCTTCTAAGATATACAAGGATTACCATTGTTCTCTCACTTAAGTGAGGGCCACATCAGCAGAGCAATACATATATAACTAAACATAAAATGACTGTACTACCCTTGTACAGCTGACTTTAACACCACTCATCCACCTTATCAGTTATCATCTCCATCATGGGTGTGTGGATTTCAGGTTAGCATGAACCCATAAAACTTATAGTGGCCTAGGCTTGGGAAGAGTGGTCTAAGCTGACAGTTAACTCAAGTATTTACATTGCGCTAAGCCTAAACTGATCTTGATCTGGCCTATCCTGGTTTACATTGTAATCAATCACTGGCACATCCCCATACGTCCAATATTTCAATCAAGCTCCTTGAAGCTGACTCTGTCAGGCCATGGTGTATTCCAATGTCACCTCACCACCTGTTTAACTGAAGAGGACACAGCCGCCAATTGCTAACTACAGAAAATGTCATACATGGAGAGGTGCTCGAAGATCCTTACAGTTTTAGTGTACTGTGTAAGAAAACAAAACAAGAAACCATACCATCAACACAACCAGAAAATGAAGGAAAAGAAAAGGTACCTGGTGTTCTCTAATGATACAGTTTTTTTGACTGGCAGGCTGATGGATAATGATACCACATTAAACGTTTAAGATCTACCTCACTATACTTCCTTCATGGTTTCCTCTTTTTCTTGCTTTAAGAAATTGAGAGCAATAATTTAAAGGATTTTATATCTATAGGCTATCTGGGAAGCATATATAGAATCTTACTGTAAATGCTCACTTCCATATTCAAAATACAATGGAATAAATTATGTCTATATTTGCAGGGTGTGTTTTTCCATGGAAATGGTGATAAATTATTTATGGTGTCTTAATTCTGGAACAAAGAATTGACTTGAGACTTGAGTGTTAGAAGGGGGGTCCCAATTGTTCAATGCAAAGTTGATCTTAATAAGCCTTCATTGTGTCGGAACTTTGAAGTGATGGATTACATTCTCAGAGAAGAGCTTTAGATGTTAGAAAAAACACTAACCAGATTGAATGCTAAAGAAGATTCAGGATGGTACTGATGTAAATCTAACTCTTTTCCAGCTTCACATGCCACACTAGAGAGGATTCAGTGAAGACTAACAGATGATAATGTTACCTTCTTAAATATTCTCAGTGAAGACTAACAGAGGATTCAATAAATCTAACTCCTAAAGTTACCTTCTTAAATATTCTCAGTCCTGACAGGTTGTTTTTTCTTTTCTGATTGATCTGAACTATGCCTGTTTTATGATCCTTGCTTTGCTGGAAACTTTTCAACTGTCAAGTACAAATATTAAGGATCAGTGATGTGGGACAAGTAGACAGATCTATGAAGAACTTAGGATGTATGACAATACTGATCTAGAAACCATATCCTGCATGGCTAGATTAGGTCAATGAATCACTTGGTGACTAAATTTAATATTAGACAACCCCACATATAGACTTTTCACATGCTGCAATCTAATGTGTCTCAGCCCATGCATGTTCCTCAAAAAAAATTAAAAAAAAAGTTCCCTTTACTCTGTTGCTTCTGGTTTATAAATTATAAAATTCCTTGTAAATTTTGATGAAGTCCCACCTTTGACATCCCTTAACATATGCGTAAGAGAGTAAAGCACAAGTATGGCTCTTTTAGAAGGAAAGAGGAAACAAAAGAGATTTTTTATCCTTGGCCCCCAAAGGAACCTTATGATCTAGTCTGTCCAAAACACAAGCACAATATTCTAGTCCCCCTCTAATTGAAAATACTAATTTCAATTTTCAAAATTATTTTTCAGTGTTTACTATTTACTAACTCTTCTAATTTACATTATGGTTTTACATTGAAATGGTAAAATAGCAAATGTAACTGTGACAATATATGCATATTATTTTCTGAAATTAAGCTTTAATACAGACAAGTGTCCACCTCGAGAGCTTATGAAACTCCAAAATCATTGTGGCTCAAGGGATTATTTTGAATAAAGATCCATAAAAGAAATTAGGAGGAATAGAGTTGGGTCTGGATTTTTGGGAGATATCATCTATTGGATGTGCCTATTATGCATAAGGAGGTTTAATTTGACCATATGGTCATTTTAAAACAATTGGAGATGCAATTAGAGCCATTGCTTGGTCATCATATTGTGTTAAATGATATTTTAATTACACTTGCTTATTCATATGTAATTTAGCTTACATGACATTAATTTTTAATTTTTTATTCTTTTTTTTTCAGGTTGAACATGTAAACAAGACATGATAATGAGCTTCTTCTGTTTATTTCTAAGACTTTTTCTTCTTCACCTATTTGTGGTTGGATATTCTTTGGTAGGTCAATGTTATGGACACATAAAGGAGACTACGTCATGATACAGATTTAGAAGTGGCAATGGTATGTGGTTGTTGTAGATTGTCTAGAATCCAAACTTTTATTGTTTTTGGAACTCAACGTTTGTTGGTTCTATATGCGGCCATCATACCCTCGGGTCTTATAGGTGCAGGCACTAACAATGCTTGAATTCCAGATATGCTATGCAACCTCTCAAGCTATTACTACTAAGAAGCTGGTTTACTCTTCTATGTAAGTTTCTCATTTCTGGGTTGTTTGGGTGTTACTAATTTGCTTGAGTTATATATGTAGAGTGGATTGCTCGAGGTCTAGTGCATTTGGGGAAAGGATTGTTGACTCTTGCACTTTACCATTCTGCTTGCACTTTTAAGTATAACACACAACCTTTCTACCATTTTTTGCCACCTCGGTACTACAAGATACTCCAAAAAACTAAACAATAAAAGGAGTATGGAAAACAAAGGAGGTGGCTAACAATCCAGTACTTGAGATGGTTAGTGGGTGTTATTTCCTATTATGATGTGTTAGTACAACACATACTCTCTCATTCTCTCTCTCCCTCTCTCTCTCTCACACACACACACACAAGAACACATGCACGCAGATACCATTCAATAAGTTTTGAAGTGTCTCATTGTAAGACTTAAATAATTCAGAGGTCCTAAATTTTCACATTTTAAAATGTTTTTCTTTCTTTTCTTTATGCCATTTGACTTCTAATGTAATTTATGCAATTGATCAATCAGGAAGGTGGGAAAAGGATATACATTTCCACTACGTGCTCTTTATGTTCGACTTTCTTAAGTGCTAGTGCAAGTGTTGATTCAGCCAGTCAAAACTAATCACCACATTTGTTAATGCTTTTGTAATTGCTGGTTTTAGCCAGGTAATTGACAATTCATGTACTGATGTTGGTTTTTATTAATTTTGTTTTCCACATGCTTAATGGATTCCCTTTCATTGTGTAGGAAAAGTGGATAACTGTTCCTTCGGAAGCTTCAAGTGGTGGTTCGACTAGAAGTTAGTCATTCCACATAGGGCTATCTATGGGTAGGGTTTAGGTTGAGTCTTGGTAGAAACAGTTCCAAACCGATTAATAATTAGGACAAAATCATGGACCCAGAACCATCCTGGTTAACTTAAAATTTAAGTTTAAATTAGAATTAGTGTTAATAACCGAACTGATTATATTGAAAGCTGTGTTTTAATTCAAATAGTAACTTAAAATTTAAAATTTGATATTATAACCTTAATAAAATTGATAAAAAAACTAAATTGTTTTTATGTGCTAAAAAATTGAACACTTTTAACTGATATTATCTATCATGTTTGCCATTTTAAACATATAATACGATAAAAATTATAAGAAAACTAAGAAAATATTATATGTAACTAATAAAATAATCGGATTTGGGTCTGAATCAGTTTGAAACAGGTGAGAATAGGAATTGACCTAGTTATTAATTCGGACAAAATCATTGAACCAGAACTGTTGTGATTGGTTTGGTCTGTTCAAGTCCGTCGAGTAGACCCAGCCCATTGATAGTCTTAATTCAATAATAAGGAACAAAGGAAGACTAGTGCTGTTGTAAGTCTGGATTTCTTTTTCATCTCTACTATGATCTGCTTTTCTTGGTGAGGATCTTTCCAACCCATAGTCAATGTTCAAACTTTCGCTATTTGTAGGGTATGATTCTGATGTGGGATGTTGATTTTGGACTCGCACAAATTAATAAATACTTCCAAAGGAATGTCAACCATGTCATTGCAGGCACATCTGTTGATTTCATTCATTCAAACTTTGTTTTTTTATAATATCAAACGTTGGTTATCCATATGTCTTTGTCGCAGAGTTTCAATTCTTAGAAGAAAAAGAGAGAAGAGGGAAAAGCATGGCTTGCATTTTCTCTAGAGTCTCTTGAATATCAGCTCATGTCCAACAGGAGCTTGGTAATTGGCACAATGCATTGAAAGATTAGTATCAGAAGCATTAACACCAACTTTAAGCTTGAGCAGTTCGTTGACCCTTTTGACGTAATAATTTCTCGACTGTATCCATTGTTTATAACTTTATATTGAGGTGGTGATATGTAATTAATCTTCGAGCTACAAGGGAGTTCCATGTAGGGGAACTGATTTTTTATATTTTGAGAGCTGCTTTGATAGCTTAGAAGTAGAGAATGAAAAGAAGCTAAAAGACCTCAGATACCCAGCGATTTGGGGGTTTCAGGTTGCTTGGATTTCTATTTACGTAATTGGATAGGATGGAATTGTTGCAAGTTAATATTAGCAGCAAAAAGGGAGATAAGATGCTACGGCTGTGAAGTCGCCCATGCAGCCATGCATGTTGTATTTGATCTATGTTTGGAAAATATCTATACAATCTTGGCGTATTGCTTGTATTGTATTTATATGTATCATGTGATTACATTGAATGCTGGAAGTTAGATGTTTTGTGATGGCTGAATTTGGGAGTGTTTATTTGAAAAATAAGTGCTTGACCCCTTTTTGAGCTGGATCCTTGCCCAACTTCCTAGTGCTGGTGCCATCAATTAGCCACCTGATTGGGCCAGTGTCCAAGATGCCGAAAGTCACACTAATTGGTTGTTTGTCGAGTCTTTGCATAGAAAGTAAGAAACTTTTAACGATGGATTTGACAGGTTCTAAGTATCCCATCTGCATCTGAGACACATCTCCATCCAAAAGGCGATATCACCACAGAAAAGTGAACGTGGGGATGTTTCTGTCGGTCATGCTTGCCATAAATTGTCACGACAGATATGAAAAAGATAAATCTTGGTCAGGGATGAGATTCTTCATTCTTCATTCTTCATTCTTCACGCTTCCATTAATTGTAGCCAGAGAAGAATGTAAAGGTGGTCAGCATTGTACCGCTATTAACCATTCCATCAAGACATGGAGCCTGCGTGAGGTGGCACTTTTTGAGCCGTAAGATGGGGGAAAATTTTCGGCTGTTGGGGTCAACAGAATATGATGTTACAGTAATTGCTCCTTATTTCTTTTTAAACATAAACATAGACATGGGCGTGAATTAGTGAACGTATCCAACCTAAATACAGCTCTCAACAGCATAAGCACTAAAATCAATCTATGCTTTCTGCCATTTTCTATGTGATAAAACATTAACAACAAAAATGTTAGATCTAACAGTAAAACACTAAAATCACGTAAGGACGAAAATTAAACACAGAATCAACACAAAATCCCATGTTTGACCTCTTATACCTTTTGTGATATTAGGATGAGATGCCCCATATTACTGTAGTTTGGCTCGTGAAGAAGAAAAACATGGAAAGACAGAGGTCCGAGGACCTTAGACGATAATTTTAAATTGTAAGTTGAAGTAGGGAGAGGGGGACACAAGACCGTCTGTTGTGAGTTTGGATCTCATGAATGACAACATACAAATATGAGAGATATTTCCGATATATGATTATGAGTAGCACATTCGAACATACCTGGAAGCTCATAAACAGATAAACTTACAACAGGCAGATACGAAGGAGATCAAGACCCATCATTGCATGGGTTCCACGGTTAATTTAAGCCAACCAATGGTAGGACGCAGAAGTAATGGAGCCCTAGAATTGGGTCATGTAACCCCGGATCTAATCTCTTGCTTTTGATAACATCCTTTGAGTTGGTTTTCTGGCATCTTGGTCCATCGTTTAGGGTAAATTGCATGTTGCATATAGAGAGAATCATAACAAGAGCATCAATACAAGAAGCCTACAACTTCCTTTGAGTCTGACCCTGAAAATGTCACACCAGAACAGTTGAGAATTTTTGATTGGCTAAGCCAACTCTGCGGCCGGCCTTTAATTTCTCAGTAATGTTCCTTGCTTTTATCATGGTTTGTAAAATAGTTTTTCTGAAATTTCAAAAGTTTCCACCTAAAACCTTACTTCTCTCTCTCTCTCTTTGGTCTACCGTCCACTATGGAGAAATCACAAATATCCTTAATTTTCGGTATATTTATGGCAATTTGTCCATACCTTCCAGCCAAATATAATAGACAATAAAAAAGTGTTTTACCGTACAATGCGTGTGTACATATTGTGTGGCGTGGGGACATAACAAACTTTCCAAAATTTCTTATTATTTTTGTCTCACATGAGTTCGATTCAATTTCAAAGTCAAAATATTGCAACGCATCGGTGTGTATCAACCGATGTATATCGGTTTTGAGCGTGCAGGGTGCAAATACTCAAGATAATTAAAAAGGGGATGAGTGTAGAGGTTCATGATACTTATTATTATTATTTGTATCGTGTTTGTACTATTTTTTTTTTTATTTTTCATCCAAGGCTTTGTTGCACCATGTAACCTAACAATAAGGCTCAGTTTGGAAGGAGTACAAAGAGTGTAAAATCATGTATTTTGTATTATTTTGCATTTATTTGTATTTGTACTTCTTCCTCCAAATTGAGACTTAATTCAATTTACCTAATAGGGGAAAATAATTTTATAACGAGGGTATACTTAAATAAGCGCCATCACTTTTCTTATGATTCTTATCTACTTTCGTTTTTTGCTGTTAAAAAATAAATAAATAAAATCAGCACGACCTTAGAACCCATTGAAGGAAATGCTTGTTGTAACTTCTACATGTGTATTGTACATAAAGAGTCCTAGTTTTGGCCTCCCCAAATAGAGCAGCGGTTTCATTATCATTCCTTTCCAACTGTTCCTCCTTTAAAATCATGGAAACTTAAAAGGGAACAAAGGAAAAGAGAAATAAAGCTATAATTGCCTTAGTTATGGAGTTATTATGTCATCCTTTTTAAGATACAACAAATATTGCTCTTGAGGGTTGAGGCTCCCAATCTTAACCCCAACCCATTTGGCCCATCCAATTCACTCATACTCACCCAATCTATTCGTGGGTCAATATGGGTTAAGTAACCCATTAAGATTAATGAAAAAAGGTCAGGATGGGTTGGGTCGAAGTACTCATTAGGGTCGGGATGGGTTGGGTCAAAGTCAATTCTATCTATATTCGTCAAATCTCAAAAAAGTAGCAATTGAAATGACTCAAACTCAGACCTCCTAACACGTCTATATCTCATTAGAATTCCAAACCACCATGCCATATTTCATTTTGTGATTAAAAGTGAAATAAAATAGATTTTATTAACTTTCGTGTTCACATGCAATTTTACATAAAAACACTTCTACAAAAACAATTTTATGAAAATGTTTTGTGAAAGCAATTTTATAAAAGCATTTTTACGAAAGTACTTTTATACGAAATCACTTTTATAAAAGTACTTTTACACGAAAGCACTTTTGTGAAAGCATTTTTATAAAAGTACTTTTACAAAATCACTTTTACACGAAAATACTTTATGAAAGTTTTTTACGAAAACACTTTTATGAAAGCACTTTTACGAAAATACTTCTATACAAAAGCATTTTTTTGAAAGTACTTTTATGAAAGCATAAAAGAACTTTTACAAAAGTACTTTTACACGAAAAGTACTAATCAATTGTTTTTGAACTTTTACACGAAAAGCATTTTCGGGTATATCTACAATATAAGTGGCATGCATACATATATACATTTTTTGCATTTTCAGGTATACGGGTTGACCTGACTCGTTTTTGTTACATGGCAGTCTTGAGAGAGATTATTCTCTCAAAAGTTATTATTTTGAGATACGGTCCGTCCCGACCTATTTTTGTATTTATAGGTGAAGGTAGGTGAGTTAGTATGGGTGATGGTGGTTAAGAGTCAATATGGATGAGTCAAGTGGGTCAATATGGGTGGGTTATGACCATTTTAAAAAAAGATTGATGATGGATTGGTGGATCAATATGGGTGGGTTGGTATTCAACCCTTACCCAACCCAACCCAACCCACCCATTTGCCACCCCTAGCTGAGGCTGGAACCTTTGGATTTCAAAGAGGAAATTATTCAGGCTACCCCAAAAGCCTAGAATACCCTGGGCTTGGAGGCATCCGGATTTCCTTCTCACATAATGATCGTCACACCCATCTCACATTACTTGCAACTATGCATTAGAAACATCTCCCATGAATGAAAACATAAATTACAGCCAATGTGTGCAGCAATCCAAACTTGGCATGGAAGAGAACAAAAATGAAGTTTACCTCTAAATCAACAATTTGGCTTGAAATGGACCACATTTCCATTTTAACTTAGGCATCAAGATAGAGGAATGTATGGTATAACCCCTCAACGGCAATGGGACATCAATAAGTTTAAAGCTTATTTACTGCTCCAAGCAATCAATCCCTCATGTGTTGGAAATTTCGGCATTGGCAATCCTTGTCTCCAAATTCCAGACTTACTGCCAACTATCCCCGGAAAATGAAGAGACATCATCTGTCCCCCTGGTGACATAAAATTTTATATCCCATCCAATGAAATACTGCCACGACACCTATTTGTTTGAAACTCAAACTTAACAGAGTCCGGACTCTATAAAACATTAAATTTTATTAAACCATTCAATTTTAATGAACTCTTCCTTTCTTCTTCCTCTTCACCGCCACTACAACCAATGGCCGCCCCTATACAGAACCGAACCGCTCCCCCCACACAACCCGAATCTCCACCACCATCGGAACTGCCGCTGCTTCTCTTCTCTTTTCATTCCCTCTTCTCTGTTATAAGTAGTTTTTCCAGACAGCTATGGTTAAGAGATCGGCAACACAACCAGCGTGCTGGCAAGCTCCTGTCTCACCCGACGCCCTTACTCCCGTACCTACACTGGAGCCGTCCACGAGGCTTACGTCGTAGAAATCATTGTTAGTGCCGCTGACACTGGTGAATTCGAAGAGTGTAACGGGTGGTGCGCCACCGCCCATACATTTTAGTCCATTGCAGTCTCCGGTTATGCATTTACCATTTCCCGTGTCGTCAATGTTTCATCTGGTGCGAGCCCAAAGCCGACGAGGCCATCCAAATGATGCGATGAGCTGTATCAATGCACCAGGTGCCAAAGACAAGTCACCCTCTCTAAGGACGGCACCACCATTCACTTGGCATTACCTCTTGCTACAAGTCTTAAAGCCTAGATTAAAGGGTGGAATATTGCCAGAAAAATTAAGGATGTTAGTTAGAGTTATGAACAGCGGATTGACTCCGCTGTTGGCATTGCTTTGTTTTTCTCTCCTTTCCTATCAGCGAGTTCCGATCCTTTTGTTCGAAATTTCTTCGTTCGTGTTTGTTTTTCTTCAAACCCCCAATCCGCTCTCGCTCGCCGCTACTAACGGGGTCTCGGTTGATTTCCCTTCCTTTAGCTACTCAGATGTTTCAGTTCGCTAAGTTTGAAAAGTCCAAAGAGAGTGCTAATTTCTCCCTTTTTAGAATGGCTCCAGTGGCTACATTTATGTTAAGTCTGGTCACTCGGGCCGTTGTACCTTTTGATTATGGTATGGTATTGTCAGATGTTAGCCTTTCGCTATTAG